GCCTTGAGTTCAGATAGTGTTTTGAACATAAATTAGCTTATTTTAAAAGCGATTGCGTGTTTGCTGTGGAAATAGAAGATTCAGAAGAATAGAAAGAAGACAGAAATCTCCTGGAACACCAACACAGAAGCTAGCCTACTCGTGCTCACATTGGGTGTGCTTCTTTCATTCCTATTGCTCTGTGGATGTAAGACCTGTATTTTGAAACAACATGGGTACTTACTTTGAGAGTGTTCCAGACCTTTCCCCAGTATATTTTCTTTTTGAAGAAGAAGCAGGTGCACCCAGTGCCCATCACCTCTCTGGGCTGCTCGGCTTTTGCATCTTGTGAGGATAGTCTCCTTCCTACCCCCAGTTCAGTAGAAAGCTGCTGCAGACCTCTGCAGTCTCTCAAAGCACTGCCTAGAGCCCTTCCCACTACTGGCCCTGGAGACTTTAACGCTGGGAACAAAAACCTCAAGTCAGTTTCTTCACTTTGTACTGATTTGGCTCTTAGTAATCATTCCTTCTTCTATTAAACAGGAGAAGATGGATTAAATTTCTAACAAGTGCAAAACCAATCCATTTACAGAATTAGGCTTACATTAGCACGTAGGAGTGCAAATCATCCTCCCTGGGGATGGATCTCTTTGCAATTCCTCTCAGCATTTTTGGAGTAAGTCCAGCAGACTTTGGGAAAATCTAGTATTCACTGACCTTAAATTAACAAAGTAACCTGACCTCTCTAGTGTTTTTCCCCCTTGATTGGGAAAGGATTTTTCTATCTGCCTATGATTGAGGGCTGTGCTTCTCAACTTCTAATGTACATGAGAAACGCCTGAGAAAAAGGTGCTCGAGCCCTGCCCCTGGAGTTTTGGGGCAGTAGGTGGGGGGAGGGGCTGGGTGTTATAAAAAAATTCCACAGGTGATTTTGATGTGCAATGCAAGATTCACTGAGGCTAGTAGACAGTCATTCTTTGAGCCATTGTCAGAACATTAAATCAAGACTGTTATCACAACATACTTTTCCTTAAGTCTGAAGGAATGGCTTAGTTAAAACTTTGGATCTCTTGATTTCCTATGGCAGGTCACACTACAGCACTATTAAAATAATACACGCCTATTCTCTAAACAGTAGATGATGCTGGGGTTTTTATAGTGTTCTAAGTTTTCCTATACACCAGTGTCTAACTTTTCCTTCTTTGCGGGTCTCTTTCTGAGATGCAGAGTTATCTGTATTGTTAAGTCAGTATACAGAGTTGGGTGAAAGTGGCTCAGAACTTTTTGGATGGCTGTGCTTTGTAGCAGCCTAGAGGCAGGCTGGGCATCCTGAAGGCAAGGAGAGCTTTCTCTTTAGGAGTCAGTCGAGGTTTTACTTGCATTATGAGCGGTGGGAAGTACTGGATCTGAGTGCCAAGGACTCTCTGCTGCAGAGGTTAGGGTTGATGTGGTTGCTGGGCAACAGCTTGTATCTAGAAGGTGGCTTCAGATCCCTGTCAGGGCATGCTAACCTATAGAAGAGTTATGTCTTCAACCACAGGGTTACATTTGCCTGTGTCCCTTATCAAGACTTTTTTTTTTTTTAACTGCCCTTACCCCTACATACAGCATGCATTTTTTTCTTTTTCTTTGTTTTTGGAAGTACTGGAGTTTGAACTCAGGGCCTTACGCTTGCTAGGCAGGCACTCTACCACTTGAGCCACTCCAGCAGCAATGCTCCTGACTCTTCATCTAACCTAAACTGTATGAATCACTTACTCAACCTTTAATGTACTCTAGCTGATTGGCTGGAACAATAATGTCACTCTCACTTACCTGCATCCACTGTCCCTTCCTGAGGGGAGGAAAGTAGGTTACCTAGACTAACATCTTTGGAGTTGAGAATATATTGAACACAGGGCCACCATGGCCCTGTCCGTTGCTTTGGAAGAGCAGTTGGACCTTTCCAAAACAGACGCTGAGACAGAGATTCGCATGCAGGTGGTTTAGTGGGTGACCTTTCAAAGAGGTCCAGATTGAGGTAAGGGGCCCAGGCCTCTGTACCCAGGCACTGACTAGTCCTTACATGTAGACTGTCCTGTGGGAGGGGATGTAACTTTGTTGGCCAAGGGCAGTGTCTAGGAAGGAACTCAGCTGTGAGCCCGTGGCAGGCAACATTCTTGTTTGGGGACCTAGTGCCTCCAACATGAAGGGGAATCTGAGTGCCCCACTGCGGCATCCATTATCAGAGCCGCTAAGCGAATGTCTTGACAGAACGATTCCAAGGGCGCGGCATGGTTTCCCGACCTACAAGGTCCACCCAGACTTGTGGCCCTTTCATGTCATACTGGTTCCTTTTTTTCCTCCTGCCATTCCCCACTCAGTGGTTGCAACAGAGAAGGTTATGTACATGAAAGTCTGGACTTGATCTGTTTTGAATTGTCAATCCATCCTTTTGGAGGTTAGAAGTGATTCTAAGAACACAGCAATTCAGAAAGAAATTTGGCTCTGGAATGTTGGTGCTTACATAATTGCAAGTCAGTGCTTTGAAACAGGCTTGTCCTCCAGTACCATAAATGGCCCATCTTAGTGCTCTGGTGATCCTGTGCAGCCTTTTCATGCTCCGAAGCTTTTCATGCTCAGGAGCAAAGCCTTCCTGAGTTACGCTCCTTTAAAGTTGGGGACTGTTTTTAAAAAGCCCTCTCAGAAAAGCCCCACTATATGGTTATTTCCAGTGGTCAGTCTCCTGAGGAACTTAGCCTCTGCTTTGCAGTCCCCTTGCTACCCCTGTTCGGTATGACTGTAAGCAGTATGTGTAAACAAGCTGGTGTAGCAGAGCTGTGCAGGGTGGACAAAGTCAACAAGTATTTGTCCAAGATAAAAGGAAAGGAGCTGGAGTGGTCCTCAAGGAAAGAAAACAGCCACATTCACAACCAGCTGTTGCATGCCTTCCCTGGTTCTCATGCCAGGCCTTTCCCATATGTCGTCACGTCTCAGCTCAACAACACGCCCATTTCCTAGGTGGTTCCACTGTGTCTGTGGACAGATGAGGAAGCTCAGACACACATGGCCTGCTTACGTGGCCTGTAGGTACCAGAGCCGAGTTTGTCAGTTGGAATCTTTGCTCTGAACGCTAGGCTGTGTTGCATCCAGAGATGATGGTGGTAGGATCAAGGAGAATGTGGCAGGGCTGTGGCTGTGCTGAGATGGAAGCTCTGTCTTCCAGAATGAGGATGGAGGATAGGCATAAGATGGAAGATTGCAAAAACCAGAATCAAAATGAAGGTGGTGTCTTGTCATATCAAGTTCAGAAAACAGCTCCCAGTGCATCCTGGGTGGGACATGCTGAAGAAGGCAAGGCCTGGAGAATGGCTAAAGGAGGTTTCAGTTTGAGTGAGTGCAGGCTTTCTCTGTCTTTGTTCTGGTTGCATGAGAATAAGGAATATTTTTCTCTAGTTTCATTAACAAGCAGGGAAAGCAGGCTTTTCCACTTTGCTGTGGTCAGAAGATCCAAGAGAAGAGGCAGGAAGATATTCCGGCTGCAAGTGGTAGTCTCCCCATCGTGTGCATTGTCTCTGACCAGCACTGAAGTCCTCCAGTGTGCTGAGGAGTCTCCAGCTATATCTGCCTGGAGCAAGGCCTCTTTCTTCATGTGCGAAGCTGGTCACTTGTGGGAGGGGACCTTGCCTGACATTAGACCAATGAGTTTCCATTGATTTTTTAGGCAAGGGCCCCTATGCCTTCCAATTACCCTTGCAGATTTTTTTCCTGTTTTTTTCTGTATAGCCAACACCACTCTCCTGATTTAACATTCTGTTCCTTCTTTTCCCACAGAGAACTGTCAACTCTCACTCTTTATTTCCCCTAGAGAGCCTCTTTGGCCCTCATGGTTCGCCTTGCTGTGTTTTGCATCTGAACACTACACTTCCTCCTTCTCCAGATTTTCCTTGAGCCCTGAGACTCCTAGATGAAGAGAAACATGGCTCCAGAACAGCCGTTATCCTGACTCTTGCTTGGAGGGGTCTAAGACAATGTCACACTCCCTTAACAATGCAGAGACTCCTGTTTTGAGACTGCAGTCTCCGATACATAAAACTGTTGTATTTGAGTAATGGATTAACAGTTTCTTGCAACCAGTAAGTTACTGATGTCAGCCAGACCTTACAAAGAATGAGTTTTATTAAGCGAGTTGTCAGAACAAGCAGCACAGTTTTCTTTGGGTTAGCAGAAGTACAACCACTGAGCTTTGGTGGGTGGATATGGGAGCAGGCAGAGGGGTCCACATGCACACTTGCTTTTTTTTGTGTTACACTGGTGTTCCTTTGTGCTACGGGATCATCATGACAGCCTGATTTCTGAGCTGAAGCCTGTTACCTCATCTCTAATTGCTTACCCAAAGGCAGGCGAGCTCTCATTTCTCCACATTAGTAAATGACACTGAAGAACTGCTTTGTTTGCACTGGCTCACTCAGGTTAACCAGCAGAGGCCCCTGAGCGCATTAGGAAGCCTAGTGGAGAGACGGTGCTCACCTCCATCCAAGCCGCCTCCCGCTTGTTTACTTGCTGCTCCTGCTTACCACCCTGTACTTTCCCCATGGAAACACTTAAGTGACCAGGTTGGCGACCTCATCCTCCAGCTGTGGGGATTAGGTGTCCTGGGGGAGGGGGCCCTCCCTGCTTTCCAGGCTTGCTTGCTTGGCTGCCTGCTGCTCAGCTTTGCTTAGAAATCAGTGCCTTCCCAAACCTTTGCTTGATCACTGTAGCAATCCCAGGATGTAGCATGTATCTCTGCTTTTCCTCTTTGGAGCACTGTGGGAAAGTCCTGAGATCTCACAAGTGAATGTGAGGCAGGTCAGAGAACTGAGAGTGGTGGCAAATGTTGAGGTAGTTCTGTGACAACTTCATGAAACAGAATGCTCCACTCCTGAGAGCAGTCCGTCTCTCTGTCACCCCTTAAGACCATCTCAGGTAATTTAAAGGACTTGAAAAATACACATTATTTTCCTGTCTTAGAATTGTAAGCTTATTTCTTTTTTCCTCAGAATGAAATGGATGGTGTGCCCTTCTTTGATCTCCAGCTGCCTTATGAACTGGCGATAAATATATTTCAGTATCTGGACAGGAAAGAACTAGGAAGGTGTGCACAGGTAAGCTGGTTAACAGATGTTCGGGTTTTCCTAAATGTGGTTAAAGTATATGAAGCTGCTGGGTAACAAATTTATGTTGTAGAACTACAAATTTACAGGATAAATGGATTGCATAACAATCCATTGAACTTAAAAGATTGTGCTCCCCATCACCACTTGGTGTTTATCTTTCTGCGCCTTCTACTGGAGAGCCTGAGCTATGGCTGACCTGTAACACTAAGCTCCAAGGCTGAAATCCTGGACTCAGCTTGTATTGAACTAGCCTGTGCTATTAATGTACTTCCATTTTTTAATGCAAAGATGTGAGCCCCTGGTTAAATCAGGCCAGTTGTTAGGATGGCAGTTGAGGGTCAGCCCAGGGACAGAACAGTGAAGTCATGTTTACCCTTCAAACACGAGCATTGTGCTCAGTGAGGCGTGAGACGTGAGAACTGAGAACCGCTGAGGGACTTGCAGAGCGGCGTCACCCGTCTCAGGCATACACCTGCCCACACAGTGGAATGCTGGGAGATAGCATCTGAGCTGGGCTGTGCTATGAGCATGCGTCATTGTTAGAATGTGCGTGCTCGGATCCAGGAGGTCTGGCTGGGCCCAAGCGGCTCCTTCTAGCCTCACGACTCTAGTGCAGCTTTGCCGACACGTGCCTGGGAGGCAAGGCTCATGCCCTAAGATTGTTACCATCCTTTGACCAAAAGTTTATGACTGATTTTTCTGTTTTCTTTTTAATTCATTGTAGTTTTTCAATTAAAAAAGTTGTGTTTATTTGTATACAACATGACATTTTGAAATATGTATGTGTATGTACGTATATTGGTGGAATGGCTCAAGCAAGCTAATTACTGTATGTATCATCTCACTTTTTTGTGGCAAGAACATTTCAAATCTATTGTCTTAGCAATTTTCAAAAATATGTTCTATTAACTAAAGTCACCATGTTGTAAGTAGGTCTCCTGAACTTACTCCTCTATTCTGACATTTGTGTCCTTTGACCAATGTCTCCCAGCTTCCTGTACTACCCCCAACCCCACAGCTGCCTTCTGTTCTCCACCTTGATGAGTCAGCTTTTTTAGATTCTCCCTGTGAGAGCGGATGGGAGTTGTCTTTCTGCGCCTGACCTATTTCTCTTAACCCACTACCCTCCTGCTTCATCTATGTTGTCACAAGTAGCGGGTCGTCTTCTTAAAGGCTGAATAGTGTTCCGTGTTTTATATATACTACATCTTCAGTCAATCTGCTATTGATTCTGTATCTTGGCTATTGTAACACTGGAATGAACTTGGGAGTATAAGTGTCTCTTTGGCATACTGTAGATATTTGCCCAGTAGTGAAACTGCTGAATCTTACGGTGGCTTTATTTTTAATATTCCAAGGAGCCTCCATACTGACTCCACAATGGCTGTACCGATTTACATTCTCTTCCCTGCTTCCTTTCTACCATGTGTTGTCTTTCCTCTTGCCGTTCTGACAAGTGTCATTGTGGTTGTCATTTGCACCACTCTGAGGATCTGTGATGTGGAGCACTTTCATACACCAACAGGTCATTCATATGTCTGTCGGGCCCTTGGCTCTTTTTTCAGTTCAGGTTATTTGTTCTCTTGCTGTTGAGTTTCTTATGTATTTTGCCTATTAATTCCTTATCAGATGATGGTTTGCACATGTTTCCTGTTCTATAGGTTGTGTCCGCTTTCTGTTGATCATTTCCTTTGCTATTCAGAAGCTTTTTAGTTTGAAGTAATCCTCCTATCTGTCTTATTTGGTTTTGCTGCCTATTCTTTGGGGATATATGCAAAACAATCATTGCCCAGACCGAGGCCAAGGAACTTTTCACCTGCATTTTCTTCCAGTAGTTTTACCATTTTGTCTTACATTTAGACTTTCAGCCACTTTGCATCAGCTTTTGTATGTGGTGGAAGAAAGGTGTGATTTCATCCTTCTGCACGTGAATATCTGTTTTGCGTGATTCATAGAAGAGACTGTTCTTCTCCCCGTCTGTGTGCTCCTGGCACCTCTGTTGAAAGTCATTGATCTAAAGCACACGGGTTGATTTCTGCTTTCTGTGCACTTGTGCTGTTCTGCCAGTACAGTGTTGTTTTGATTACTGTAGCTTTTTGTATGTTTTCAAGTCAGGAAATGTGATGTCTCACTGTGAAGCTTCCTTTGTGCTGGAATTACAGGCTTGTGCCCCTGTACCCATATGATAATTGTTCTTTTTTTTTGCTTAAGATGCTTAAGGGTCTTCTGTGGTTCAGTAATTCAGACTCTCTCTCTCTCTCTCTCTCTCTCTCTCTCTCTCTCTCATTCTCTCCCCTACCCCCACCCCACAGTGCTGGGGACGGAGCACAGGGCCTTACATGCTAGACAAGTGCTCTGCCACTGAACCAGGTACCCAGCCCTTTTTTTTCCTCTTCTGTGAAAAATGTCTTTGGAGTTTTGACAGGGATTGTATTAAATCTGCTTGTCACTTTGTGTGATATGGACCTTTTACTGTGTTCTTCCAGTCTATGAAAGTGGGTATCTCTGTTTATCTGTGACTTCTTCAGTTTCTTTCATCAGTGTTTATAGTGTTCATTGTACTGCTCTCTCATCTCTTTGGTTTAATTTAAGTATTTTACTTTTCTTGGTAGCTGTTGTAAATGGGACTGTTTTTCCTTTTTTGGCAGCACTGGGATTTGAACTCAGAGTCTAGCACTTGCTAGGCACAGTCTCTACCACTTGAGCCACATCCCCAGCCCTTTTCTGCTTTGGCTGTTTTTTGGATAGAATTGCACATTTTTGCCAAGGCTGGCCACAGACCTTAATCTCCTACCTATGTCTTGCAGTAGCTGAGATTATAGATATGACCCATGACACCAGCCTGTTTGTTGAGATGAGGTCTTGCTAACTTTTTTTGCCTGAGCTGGCTTCTTCCATCTTCCCAATTTCTGCCTCCTGAGTTGCTGGGATTACAGGTGTGAGCCACTACATCTGGGCCAGGATTATTTTCTTGATTTCTTTTTTAGATAGTTCATTGTTAAGATTTACCAAAGCTGCTGATTTTCATGTCTGTTTTCGTTTCCTGCAGCTTCACTGCATTCGTTTATTAGTTGTAGCTGTTTTCTGGTAGCCTCTGGGGTTTTCAAACATAAGATCCTGCTGTCTGCAGACAGAGACAGTGTGTCTTCTTCCTTCCAATTTGGATGTCTTTTATTCCTTTTCTTTTTGAGATAAGGTCTCACTGAGTAGCTCAGGCTAGCCTTGAATTTGGGATCCTCCTGCCTCAACCTCCCAAGAGCTGGGATTGCAGGTGCATACCACCATGCCTGACTTTTTCTTCTTTCTCTTGCCTGGTCGCTCTGGCTAGGTCTTCTAGTGCTACGTGGGGTAGAACTGGCGAGGGTGGCATCCTTGTTCCTTGATTTAGAGGAGAGCCTCCATGTTTTACCACCAAGTGTGACATCAGCTGTGGGCTTCTCACACACATGTGGACATTGTGCGCAGGTACATTCGTTTTATACCTAACTCGTTGGGAGGTTTTTTTTTAATCATAAAAGATGCTGAATTTTGTCAAATGCTTTTTCTGTATCTGTGAAAAGATTGTGTGATTTTTGTTCTCCTTCTGTTAATGTGTGTCTCCATTGGCTTTTTGTAAGTGGCATGTTTGTTGATAACTTGCTTTGATGGACTGCTGTGTTGTCTAGAAGACGCTTGAGTATTGAAAAATTTTGTTTAATGGTCACCACTTCTTCCCTGGATTCTACAGTGCATTTCACACAGGTGTCTCTGTTTTCCAGAGAAAAGGTTCAGTAAAATCAAGTGGTAAGAGAAGTATGCACCAAAATCCAAAGCACCCTACAAATGTGAAGTTGAGAACATTAAGGTGGTTCAGCTGGCATGCTTGTCATCTTGGCACTTGGAAGGCCAAGGCTGGAAGAGCATGTGTCTAAGTCTAGCCTGAGATACACAGCAAGATTTTGTCTCAAAGAAAAAACAAAACAGGGCAGGCATGGTGACCCATGACTATAATCCAGCCATTCAGGAGGCAGAGATTTGAAGGATCACTGTTTTGAGGCCAACCTGGGCAAAAAGTTAACAAGACCCCATCTCAACAAATAAGCCAGGCATGGTTTTTCATGTCTGTAATTCCAACTACTTGGGAGGTATTGCTAGGAGGATTGTAGTCTGAGGTTGGCCCAGGCAAAAAGTATGAAACCCTCTCTGACAAATCATAAAGCAAAACAGTTTGGGGACATGGCTGAAGTGGTGGAACGTCTGCTTAGCAAGTGTGAGGCCCTGGGTTCAATCCCCAGTTTCACTAACACAAAACAAACAAATTAAGGCATTTTGAAGGTAGTGAAAGCCATAGCCAAATTTAGACTCTAGAACTCACAGTCTCTGTAGCAGTTCAGTGAAATTACACACTCAGGACAGTTTGTAGAGTTTCTGGTGTTACACTAGTTTTTATGAAGCATTTTGCTTAAAGTTGTTTTTCTACTTAAATCTGAATTTGAAAGAGTTTTTGATATTCTTGATTGCCATGATACTGCTTAGGTGGAGATGGTAATGAAGGGCGTTAGTCTTTTGGAAATGCTGAAATCATTTCAGAGTTAAAATTCCCTTCAGAAATGTGCTGAAGTGTAAACTGTGCTTTGAGTCCATCAGCTGCATTCAGTACAAGTACCTATATTGTCCTCTTTCCCCTTGGAAATTGGATTTGTCGTACTCTAACTTTACACATTGGCCCTGTTCCCAAGAGTCAAAAACAAGAGTGTAGCTCACTGTACCCGTTCCTGGATCCCAGCCTGACGCTGTCAGTCGGAGTCTTGGATCAGGGTCCAATAGCTCCCTACTTTACACAGCGTCAGCTCTAGGTGATAAAATCTTCATTCTCTGTGGTGACCTGCTGTTTAAGGAATTGTCCTTTAACGTTGCTTTTGCGCTCCCCTGCTTTGTCGAGCCATGTGGCTTTTACATCTGCTGCTGCTTTTCTCATCCAGGAGCTCATGGGTGATAAATAGCATCTAGTGGAAGACCAGACCCCTCTTTGGTACAACGGGCTGCGTTTCAGGGTGGATTGGTTATGCTG